GGCTGAGAGTACTTCCAACCTCCTCCTGCAGCTGAGTGCCCTAGCTAGCCAACTCCTTCTTGTAGAGTGGCACACCAGCTTCCTTTCTCCTCTGCTTTGTCCTCCTATACTTTTTCTAGTTCCTTCACTTCTCTTTCATGCCCTGGCCCTGTTCTTCGGGTCTTTCTACACTCATACTGGTTGCTGGACATTCTCCTTGACTCTGTGATCTCCATCCTATCTCTATCAAACCCTAGCCCCCTATAGCCCAAAAAGAGCTCTCAGTGTGAGCCATGCCCAGTGGCACTTCAGGAAAGTAGGCAAACACAAGGACTAAAGTGGAATGGGGGGGAAATGTCTTAAATCAATCTTTGAACTGATGTTCATCTGAATTAGGCCATGCATTTCACACAACATTATTTGTATTGCCATCATGCCCTAAAGATGGCACAGAACCCCCATTATGCTAGATGCTGTACAAACAGAACAAAAGCTAGGCCTTGGCCCACAGCTTACAATCTACTATATATTTTAGAAAGTTTGTCTGTATGTATGTTTGATCAAAAACTCCTAAACCTAAACGGTAAGAGCTCTGATCATCAAATTTGGCATACAGCTTCCTCTTATCATAACTTAAAGCAATATAAAGGTGTGGTTGTGTCAAGAAAACAGGCTGTGCAATGAGATTGCTTTTCATAAAACCAAACAGAAGAGACAGAATCACCAAATTAAGTGCATCCTCAAAATTGACATAACTGTTGAAAGAGACTTAACTAAAATGAGCCAGAAAAAAAGGAGGCACCTGCAATAGGATACCTTCTCAATAAACCTCACAGAGAAACTTGGAGTGGTGCTCTGTTTTGGCACAGCTACATCAATGCTTAAGGTCTGGAAACGTTTTTTTTTTTAAACATGGCAAATTATAAGAGGTTTATAGGGATGAAAAAATACACATCTTGAAGAAATTTACATGTAAAAAAATTAAACAGAAAATTTTAACAATCCTTTTTTAAGAAATCCAAAATAAAAATTAATGTTAAAGTCACTATTTTTGAAAAATACAATCATTTAGATAAAGCATGTACATTTTCCTTTTATTTTCCAAAAGCAAACCCAGGTAAATCTGCAAGTCTCAGTATAAAACAGAAGACAGCAAATGGATACAGACAGATGCAGGAGAACAAGGTAACAGTAAGGGTATGTCTACACTACTTGGCTCCGTTGCCTCTTCTTTACATAAAAATGGCTGCCTCTCTGTGCCAATCAGCTGGTTGGTGGCACAACACGGTAATCTGGATGCTCTGCAGTCAACATCAAAAGCCTTTGTTGACTGCCCCGGTAAACCTCATCCCACAAGGCATAATGGGGCGGTCGACAAAGGCTTTCGATGTCAACCGTGAAGCGTCCAGATTACCACGCTGTGCTGCCAAACAGCTAATCGGCACAGCGCGGCAGCCATTTTGATGTAAATGAAGTGGCGATTATTTAAATCGCCGCTTCATTTTGCTATGTCTACAAAGCTCATCTACATGGCTCTGTTGATGAAGCCATGTAGTGTAGACATACCCCAAGGCAATACCTGTTGGTGCGATAGGTACTGGTAGCCACTGCCCAGTGTTTTTGTAGCCAGCATGGCAAAGGGAAGTTTTAAGGAGGGATTTGGAGGTTACAGGTTTCCCAAACATGAGGGGCAACATGTGAAAAAGAATGAAGATGCTTGTTTGAAAATGTAAGAAATGGTCAATAGACAACACTGGCCGGTTGGAAGTGGGGATCAACCTTCTTTCATCCCTCAGGAAGCTTGCTGTTCTAAGAATTCCCTGCAGTGTGTGGAATTTTATATCCAATGGCAACCAGATCAGAATGTAGCATATCAGGTTGGTTGGTCACAGGATACCTGTATAGAGAAGAATGTCCCTCCCTGCTTCATTACATGAAGACTTTATATATGGCCCAAAATGGCTCTGGGCCTTTTTACAACCATATCAGATTGCAAATTCAGGTCTCATTCTCTGCAAATTCAGGTCTCATTCAACCCCTTCCCCTTCCAGTTCCATGAAGAGGTTTCTTAGAGTTTACAGATCCAAAAATGTAACACACAAACTTCCTGTAATACTTTGTTGTAAAATGCCCACTTGTTCTTAAGACCAACTTATTCTGCCCCCTTTTAATAACAAACATGCTACAAAAACACACACATACAAAATACTGTTAATTGATAACTGACTTTTTAAAAAATGTATTGAAATTCATTAGCTGAATGTACATTAAAGGAAAATGAGATGGGTTTGTAATAAGAGGCAGATAAGGGAGAGGGAGATGAGAGCCAGTGCCAGCGGGGAGCTAGCTTTTAAGCTGAGCCACCTGTACCTTTCCCCAACCCCTTGCTACTGTCTCTGATAGAGAGGCAGCATAGTGGAGGGTGAGGGGGACAGTTGGGAGCAGATACACACAGGAATCTGGCTTTTAATCTAGCTCTCCACATGTGCTGGCTCCGCCTCCCCCTGCCTTGCTGCCTCTCACAGCAGGAGGCAGCAGCCAGAGTCAGGGGGACAGCAGGCTTAAAGGCCAGCTCCTCACAAGCACCGGGAGCTGCCTGCACCCCCCTCAACTCTTGCCTCTATCAAAGGCAGCAGTGGTGGGGCAGGGGAGACTGTCGTGGAGCAGACTCCATGGGATGCCAGCACAGCCTCTGTCCACAAGAGCTTGGACCCCATGCAGACAGGGCTTGCTGCTGCAGAGCAGCCTCTGTCCATGGCAGGCCCAGGCTCACCACAGACAGGCTGCTCCATGGGATGGTGGAGCAGTCTCTGTCTGGGAAGCATGGTCACCTTGCAGAGAAAGACTGCTTCCACCCTGTGCTGCTGCCTTTGATAACAGAGGCGGCAGCACGGGATGCCAGGGGGTTGGTCCCTGGGAGTACACTGGCTGCCAGTCCCTTCCTCCCCCCCTCACCCCAATAAAATTTGGTGTGGCTACACGATTATTCAATTACATGATATCTAACATCCCTTGTTTGTAAATATGCTTCCCTCTCCCAAGAATGACAGGCATGGGAATGGGTAGTGAGGTTAAAGGAAGTGTGAGACTGGTTTAGAACATCTATTTTCCTAACAGTAAAAAAAAAAAATTGCATGATTAATGAGTTTTTAATATTACACCACATTCCTCAGATAATCCAAAATCAATTAGCAAAATATCGTAAGAATTCAAACTATAGCAAGGGCTGTATTCCCAAATATTTCCCCTTACACCAGAGCTGAGCATTTGATACTGCTGAGCTAAGCAATACAGGGAGGACTTGCAGCACTTCTCCTCTCTCTGTTGGAATCCAGTTGACTCAGCACTAAATCTCACATTACTCCCGCAGCCACTCTGCTAACACATCACTTCTTTGAAAGTTTCAGAGGAATAGCTGTGTAAGCCTGTAACTAAAAAAACTTTAAAAATAATGAAGAGTCTTGCAGCACCTTAGAGACTAACAAAAATGTAGATGGTACCATGAGCTGTCAAGGGCACAACCCACTTCAGATGAAATCATGACTTCTTCAGGAATTGCCACTATTAAGCAAGGGAACCTCCCTCCTTTTTTCTTACTCTCACATTTTATAATCCCGGAAACAGACTATTCCGATCAAATACCTCGAGTCAGTCATTTTCTGTTGCTGGCAGGTTTTTTATTATAAAGCTTTAGCTTTTTGAATCTCAAGTCCTGTCCTGTCATTAAATGGCCCCTTCCCATTATTTCCCACAACTGTAAATGTAGCTCCATAAAAATGCTTAAAGTATCTGCATGTGCAGAGCTGGGGAAGCGTCAAGAGAGGCAAAGTGTAAAACCGCTGAACGATTCAGCGACTAGCGCCATTAGCAAAGCCCCTGCCCGGCCCCGCTCCAGTGCAGCGAGCGGGCACCGCGGAGTGAGGCGAGCAGAGCCCCCGGTGGCTGAGGAAAGGCGCGACACCGGCAGGAAGCCCTGCCCCCACCCGGCCTGGGACTGGCTGGGCCCTTCCGTCGCGGGGCGGACGGTGAACCCGCCTCCACACCGGGCCGGGGATTTAGTGACCGGACCGAGCAGGGAGCCATCCAGTGACTCCGCCGCTGCAGCCCTTTCCCTGCCCAGCCTGAGCCCAGCCCCATCTGGCTCGTCCATGAGCCTGCTACAGACTTGCCCTTCGCAACTTCCTCTCGCAGGGAGTTCCACGGGTTGACATGAAGGGGGTTACTTACCCTGCCCAACGCTGAGGGGTTGCGTGGGGGGGTTACGGGGTCTCCCTGCGCAGCCCTGAAGAGGCGGGGAGGGGGGGGGG